CGGGTAATCAGCCTTCCCAAATGCGGCCTGTGCACAATGGGCCTCCGAAAATACAATCCACGGTAAATCAGCCTCCCCAAATGCGGCCTGTGCTCAATGGGCCTCCGCAAATGCAATCCACGGGCAATCAACCTTCCCAAATGCGGCCTGTGCACAATGGGCCTCCGCAAATACAATTCACGGGCAATGTGCCTTCACAAACGCGGCCTACGGGCAATAGGCCTTCCCAAATGCAACATACGGGCAATCAGGCTTTCCAAACGCGGCCTGTGCTCAATAGGCCTCCGCAAACTCAATCCACAATCAATAAGCCTGCACAAATGCGGCCTAAATTGAATGTGTTTTCGCAAACGCAACCCACGGGCAATGGGCCTCAACAAATGCGGCCTAAATGCAATGTGCCTTCACAAACGGAGCCTATATGCAATGGGCTTTCCCAAACGCAATCTATGGGCAATCAGCCTTCCCAAACGCGGCCTACGTTCAATGGGTCTTCCCAAATGCCACCTGTGGGTAACGAGCCTTCACAAATGCAACTCAAGGGCGATGGCCCTCCACAAACGCGGCCTATGTTCAATGGGCCGTCGCAAATGCCGGGATTCACTCATTCTTCAACGGTTAATAATTCGAATCTTCATGGTTCGTCAATTCAATGCATGTCAGATAAAATTAAATATGATAAAATGGCACTGTTAGATATCAGAAAAGAAATGACTACACCTACTGCCGCCGGCAAAGCTGATAAACGCCAAACATCAAATTCTCTCACAGATAGTCAACAACATAAAAAAAATTACAAGCGTACACAATCTTCTTTAAACACTGACTCTTCTACTAGTACACCTAATCCTATAGTAAAAACTTCTACAAAGCAATCTATAAAGCAATCTTCTCCGATATCGGACAAAGTTAAAAATAATGAAACAGCAACTTCCAGTTGCGGAACAACAGTTGCTGAAACCGCAACAACCGTAAGTGCTGTACGACAAACGATGATAAGTACTACGCCAAGTAGTCAACAAGATAAACCAAATATATCTACTGTTCCTAAATCTTCTTCGAACGACCTTGCTTCTCCGCCAGTTAAAACCGATATTTCGACAAATCTTTCCATTCAGCAATCTAATCTAATTAACAACACTTCTTGTTCTACTTCTGTTGCTAGCTCGAATCGTCCTTTAGACGGTAACACAACTACTTCTAATAGTACAACAAGAAGTGGTAGTGCGAGCAGTAAATCAAATTATTCAGTTAATTCTTTAATATCCAAACCTACAACGATCAATTCTGGAGTTTTAACTTCTGCTGCTACTGGCTCGTCGCAACTAGCATCTGAAAGACAAAGTGCCCCAGTAGCACGTATTACGATAGGCAGTGAAGCCACTAACGATAGAACGACTTATGCTCACACATCAGCGGAACTAACTTCTAATAGAACATTTATAAGGGAGGCCTATTCTCAATATTCCCCAGCAGCTTGCTTCACGATACCCAATGAAGTCAATAATCATAGAGCGCATTATGCGAATGCTTACACATCAGCGGAATTAAATTCTAATAGAGCATCTATAAATCAGGCTTATTCTCCTCAACGTCCCCACACAGTTACTCGATCAGAAAACAATTTAAGAAGTTCTAATCAGGGTAGAACGACAACTAAAAAGGACTCAGGATGTCAGATTTCTTAAAACTTATACATTATTCAATCATTTTTATTTTTCAGATTTTTTTAAAGCGACCAAAAATTAATATATATATATATATATATATATATATCACGTCCGTCCGAATACAACCTTGTACAACAAAAGGAAAGTGAAGAGTAGGAAAAAGAGTTCAATGATTTAATTGCAAATATATTTGCAAGTAATCTCTTAAGACAAGGCGTCATTATCACTTTACCTTGTGATATCTTATAAACATTTAAGTGAACACAAGGTCGTTAAACTGTTTAGCAAACCAAAAAAAAAAGAAAAAAAAAATTAATATTTTCATCATATCAGAATCGTTCGTTTTTATAAATTTTTGTTGCTTAAAAGCAATTATCGATGAATATTTCAAATATTATCTATAGATAAGATATTTTTTCAACCTTTTTTTTTTGTTTTCATAAACATAACATATCGCTATAGCGCTTGAGGAGCAATGAAAATGACGAAATAATTATATTTTAAGCGAAATAGAATTTTTTTTTTAAATTTATAAACTTTTTTGCGCATTCGTTGTAAACACCCACTGACGGTCATATTTAGTTCCTACTATGGGAAATAAAATTTAAAAATGTTTTTATTAATATTTCTGCTTTTGGACTATGTAGTCCGCAGCACTGTTCAGTAAGAACGTATTTTTAATGATCCTTAAATATTTACAGTAATCTTCCCTATAGCAGGGTAGATTAGGGAAAAGCGTATGCTTGTACAACACAGTCGTATGACCCTGTGTAACGCGTTATCTTTTTGTTATTTTCTTTAATTCAGAGCTCGTCTCTATTAACTAAAATTTTCCTGTCGAAATGATTCTTCGCTTTCTAAGAATCATGAAGAATTTTCACTGTACAGAAATATAAAGTGGGAAATGCTCGCGCTACACGGTGGGGGGGAAACGCGTGGTTGTACGATCGGTGTCTGAAATCGCGTACCCTATCGAGTACCCTATTATGGGCGGATTACAGCAGTTGTTAGCGTATTTCAGCTCATACTCTACCGATAGAGAAGAAGGTATTGTAGTTAGCTTTTCTTAGGAGTAAACTTAAAATGAGTTTAATAAGCTTTTGCAATAAGCAATTGCATTCAATTTGATCATTACGAGATTTTTGCATAATTTCTGATAATGAATTGCTTTTACATTCGTTCGGTGTCGTCGCGCATGCAAACTATTTCGAAGGGGCTTTTACGAACAGTGAAAGTAAAAGTCCGTAAATAGCTGTCGCGATGTAAATGGTTTCGACTATTTATGCTTTGCAATTTTACCATGTTACTCTTTCGTTAGAAAGAGTATTGTTGATGTATTGAAAAATTGCAACGATTTATATTCTAGATAGAATTTTTTTTTTGTTTTTTTTTTTTTAACTAGAAATAGTATTCATTCATAATTCCTTTTCGTTAGAAAGGAATTATAAGTAAAGTAAGTAAAGTAAGTTTCATATTCCTGTGTTGGGAATATTTAAACCTTTGAGATGGTGAACGAAAATCGATGCAAACGTGAAATAGTTTAATTGCTTTCCCAAATTGCTTAGATGAACGTGTCGTGAAAATAACGTTTAGAATATGTTTTAATCTAAATCTTAAGCGGGATTCAATAAATAATTTTTTTGTTTGACTTAGTTTTCTTCTTTTTTTTTGTAGTGACGGACATATATTATTCTATGTAGTTGCCAGTGTAATACAGTTGATGAATGTGGACTTTGGGAATATTTCAAGTGAAAAAAATCTATGATAATGATAGTAAATCGTGAAATATTTCATTTCTCTGCCCAAATCGTGTAGTGTAGTATGTGGTTAAACGTAGATGCATGTATAGGAAAATAAAGTTTTTCCGTTTCTGATGTAAACTTTCATTTGCAAAGATTTTCGTTTAGTAGCCGATCCTTTTCTTTTACAGCGAGGACAGAACTTTAGAGATGCCTAGATTAAAGCATACATTCTCTCCCGTTTAGTATCCAGCGTTATACAATTGATGAGTACGAGTTTCGATCGAAGTAAAGCCTATTATTTTTTACTAAGACTGATAAATTGCTCTGCCTATCATATGCTTCAGTGTCTTCAAGACACGATAACTAAACTAAATAAACACTTGCTTGTATCTTTTACATTTAATTTTTAACCAAGATGTGTAAAATAGTATGTTAATGATTCCACACATGTCTAAATGGAAGACATTAACTTTAATCAATTTTAAAAAGTATATATTCAGTTGTCGACTCGAGAAAGTGGTCTTTTCATAACTGATTTAAGATGTGTCAAACAATATGTTGTTTTAACTTTAATCAATTTTAAAATGTATATATTCAGTTTCCGACTTTTGCATTCAAAAAGTAAGTCTAGAGTATACAAGTGGCGTTTCATAATAGTTTTAAGATGTCTAAAACAATATGTTGTTGATTCCTTCCTCACATGTCTTAACTTAAATCAATTTTGAAAAGTATGTATTCAGTCTCTGATTTTGTGCATTGAAGATGTGTAGAACTTAAAACCTCTCTTGGGGAAAAAAAAGTCAAACAAATGTTGTTTCATAACAAATTCATCCGTAATATGTTTCATTACAAGTCACAATTTCATGATTACAAATGTACATCATACGATTTAAGCAAAGCATCCCTTGTATGTGTTGTAAAGCTTGCTTGAAATGAGGAATATTTCAAAATATAATTAATATGAAGCGCAAGAAATATATTCTAAGACAAAGAAAATGTACGATAAGCGCTAACAACTAAAAGACTATCGTCACATATCAACAGTTTTGAATGACGTTGCGACTAATTAAAGATTAGTTGAAAAATGCTCACAATTTCAAAACTGATTTCCTTTTGCCAATCAAGTGGAATTTATTAATCATCTAAATTTGGATTTGATATGCTGAGGAAGCCTTCTTTTCGATTTTTAATAACTTTGAAGAAGTCTTCCGCTTGTAAATCTGAAGACTATTTCAAAACAACGTAGGAAACGATGTTTTTCCAGAGTTTTTGTAAGAAAAGTTTCTTGTGAAATATATCCTCCAAGCAATTGCAATGCATTGCGCCGCAATAGGTTCTTGCCCAGCCCGCCCATTAAGCAGATTTTCATAAAATTTATGACATTTTCCCTCTTTTTGTACAATTCCTCGACTTGCCTCGGATTGCCTTTGAAATGTCACATTGAAAAAAAGGGGAAAAATAAATTTTTTGCTTATAATTTAAGTGACTATTAAATACCTTTTTGGTGAAATTTATCTTTCAGGGTGAAAATTTTAATCGCACTTTGGTTTTTCTAGAAATTTCTTTTTAAATAAGGTATCCCAATTTTTTTACATATAATATATCAAGGGTTTTAATTAATGTAAGTTTATAAAACTAAAATAAACGAAGAAAAAAAAAAGAATAAAAACACTTGCAGTTTGGATTTCAAGCAATTTCTTAGCAAAGATGGGGATAGAAAAGCATGACTGAACTATAATTGTCGCATGATATATTTAATTTTGTACGTTTCTGTTGAAACGATTTCAACCCGCAAGAGAGAGAGAGAGAGAAGGGATAAGCTTCTTCAAAGGGTAATTATAGTTGCTCGTAGCAGAATTTTTCGACGAAAGCAATTATAGCACGACTTTTGGGTTTAATAGCCACAGTAGTAGTGCTTAGTACCTCGGTGTATAAGCTGAAGTCTTTTAGTGTTTTATTCTTTTTAAATTGCAAAAGACCGGCTTCGTAAGCTTCCTTGAGCACTGATAGGTGAATCCGCCATTCAAACAGAAGCAGCTTTTCGCCGGGATATGGCTACACCGGATGTTGAGCAAAATAAACAAATGTCGCCTGTAAAGTCGATAAAATTGTATTAAGATTAAGGAGGGGGATAGGCAGTTTTACCCCATTGTTATGAAGATGGTTTTGTCGGTAGCTACTACAATATCGTAAGAAGTAACCAATTGACAACCAGCCCTTGCTACCAAACCATTAACTTTGGCTATAATCGGTATGGGCGATTCATCCATACTTTAATGTTATATGAGTGAAAGACCTCAATTTGTCCCTTTCGCTTACAAGGCCCTAACTCCGACAAATTGTAACCCATGGAACAAATCTTACCAGTAACGGATCTTAAGACAATGCATCTTACGTCTTTATCAGACCAAGCTGAACGGATTTCCTCTAAAAGAGTGCCCATCATAATCATAGTTAGGGAACTGTTAAAAATTGGATCATCGATAATAAGTTCACGTACTCCATCGCTTTGGTGAACGCGTACGTATCTTCGTATCTTCGCATGTAATATTATTGTCGCTAAAACGACCACCGATAGTGTATACAGAGGAAGTAATACAACATTTCGGTAAAAGTGCCTACAAACAACATTTAATATTAAATATTAGCGATATTATCTTTTACTTTATAAATATAAAGTTACTTTTAATGTTTTAATTGCTCTAAACATAATTGCTTGCAACTTACTTGAAAGCCTTCAAAAAAAAAAACGAAACAGATATTTTAAGGTTAAATGGAAAATGCCTTACAACACCGGCTATATGTTTATCCAAAGAGTGAATTCTTTTAAACAGCATGAATGATGAGGGTTAAGGATAAACGTTAAACATTGCCCTTGAAGTCAATTTATCCGTTACTTGGCTGTTTTTTAATCGCAACACAAGATGTGTCTATGTACTTAATAATGAGATGGAAGGAGTAGGGGAACATTTATTAAATTTATTTGAAATCGGAAAATGGTTTTAGTTTCCCAATCGGTTCCGGCAAAAGCACTAACGAGCTTTACAGGAAAGCAATTTTTTGAAGCCTTTATTGATAAATTTTTAAAGTTAGATATCTTAAAACGAGCGCCTGAGTGGCTGAGGTGTACGTCGATCTCTTCCTCAAGGATTAATGCGAACAAAACATGGTTTAAAACTGCGTGATTTTGATTATGAGCTTATTTTGGGCGATGAACTTGAAGACGGAAGCAAATTGTCATCATTCATTGGAATATCTTTTTTTTTTGTTTTTTTTTTTTGTTTTTGCGCACCCTACCTCCGTATTTTCGTATCATCGTAAACCTTACAATGCACAGCAATTGTAGTAGAACCCTATATCCAGCTGCTACGATTTTTTCCCACCACTTCTTCCCATTTAACAAATATGCTCAGGTGATAAGCATAAATAAATAGTAGAAAGGATAGCGTAGCTAATATAATATTAAATACCGGAAAGTATTGACTTCGATATATTTAGTAAGGCCGATGTAATGGTGAAGAATTTCAAGAACGCGGAATTTAATCAATACATTTCAGTAACTGGTGGCAATTTAGACGACGATTCTCAATTTAAACCTTATTTGGTCTTTAAAAATATGCCTAAAGGAATGATGAAGCTGGCTTTACGGAACATTTGTTTAAAAAAATGATCTCCTAAGAGATGTCAGACATGATAATAAAACTGACAGCTATTTTGTAGATTTCGTAGACCGTAGTTTTCTTCACAGTTCCTTCGATATGAATATCAAATAAAAGAAGAGAAGAAGATAGAAGACGGATTTTAGCCCATAAACTAATAAACAATAGATACAACACGACTTAAGTTTCCACTTTTATTCTAGAAAAATCGAAAACATCATCATCGGGCCTAAGCAGTTATTAGTAAGAAAGTTCAGTGTTTTCCTTCTCTCTCCTTTTTTTCTTTTTTACGATAACGGTAATGGGAGATTCGGTGGTATGAGTTGCACATTGTTTTTGTCCGATTCTTTATCCCAGTTCAGTGGCTTAATTATTTTTATATTCTTCTAATCGGACAGAACGGCGAGTAGGCAAAGGATCTCGACTAACAACAACAAAAAGTTTATTGTACGATCAAAAAATTTATTATACGACCAAAAAATTTATTGTACGACCAAAAAATTTATTATACGACCAAAAAATTTATTGTACGACCAAAAAATGTATTATACGACCAAAAAATTTATTATGCGACCAAAAAGTTTATTGTACGACCAAAAAATTTATTATGCGACCAAAAAGTTTATTGTACGACCAGAAAGTATATTGTAAACTCAGTGGTCTTCCTATTTGAATTTTATGTGAGTATCAGTTAATGTTAGCTGTAAAATGTCGAAACATTATACCTTTGTCTAATTAAATGAATTTTAATCAGATCTTACATTTTGAGAGATTGGGTTCTCAACTTAAGAAAACTGTTATCGCACATCCGTTACAGTTTACGAGCAACGAGCGTTCTTGGACCTCAATGCATCATTTTCAAACTCCTTTAAATATTTGTAAGCGATATCTTCTTCTTTTCTGCGAATGGGAGAATGTATACCAAAGATACTACAAAGTTTGGTAAACGGAGCAATGGCCGGACATGTCTCTGTGAACTCCGAATTTGAAACTTGTGAAGAGCTTATATACTTTATGGGGTTTTTGAAGCTAGTGTCTGCGCCTTGTAAAGGTATTGAAAAAAAAAAGTTAAATTTTGATACAAAAATTAAATATTGGATAGGCGAAGTCAACTTTTCCAATTTGCGTAAGGATGCTATAGAATCACACATTTATAGATTTATCAGCTGTAGTTGATCAGTAATGAGCCAAAAACCATCTTTTAAAAGACAAAAGTTTTTTCAGCTTACGTGCTACTACAGGCATGCCCTTCAACCGATTTGGCGCATTTTCAATATCAATCTGCATGCAAGATCAACCAATGTTTCTACCAAATTTAAAGTCGATAGCTTGATTTTTGCGGCCAGGAAAATGCTTATAACAGACACAGACGGACAGACAGCCAGATTGGCAGACGGACCCGCTTAAATCGACTCAGATTTTGATGCTGATCAAGAATATAAATACGTTAGGAATCTCTGCAGTTTCCTGCTGAGAGAAAATGACCCGCAATCTTTGATGATGAGTATAAAAATGGCTCACAGCTGCAAATTATAGTAGCACGCTGTTTTTCGAGGACTCTCTTGAATCTCCTATATGAAAGTATGCTTATATAGTTTCTGTTAGAAAGGTGTCTTCCCTTTTGATTGCATTCTCCCATTTTTTCTTTTGCAAACCTATCCATATTCAACGAGTTTGAGAGAATAGGTCACCTCTCAGTTCCAGTGCTGCAAATGCCTTTGCAAGGCTGCCTTTTTTTTTGGAAAACATCCGAGAAGATAACGTCCGTGATTTTAATTATTATTATTATTATTATTATTATTAATTTGGCCAGAGAAATAAATTCTAACACTAAACTCTTAAAAGCACTTGCATCTAAGGCTATCAGCTTTTATTAAAAATTCTACCGCACTTGAGATTCGAACCCACGACCATTGATAGTCGAGATTCCTCGTCTTCGGCTACTCAGGCGGATCTCTATGATCTTAAATTAATGACCTTTTAGCCAGTTTTAATATAATAAGCGGGCCTAACTTGTAATAGCTTAGATAAAGTTCAATATTTCTCTTTTTTAAGGTTATGAAGAGGTAGAGTTTGTTTCGCTTAAGTTTTTTAAATATAACATATACACATTCTTCGTTTTATTGACGCAATATTGAACGAGCAAATTAAAAAGACGACACGACTTTCTTATAAGGTAAGTGATTGTAAATGCAAGATTAATTTGAAATTTCAAGTTTATAATCGCAATCATTCATGCTGCCACACTGGTTTACGCTTTTCTTTGAATGCTTTAATGCCCTCTTGAGTATCCGGTAGTGCGAGATTTTCGGTCATTTTCTACGTGGCGAAAGAATATGGGAAGGAATTAATTCAATTAAAGTAAATTAAAAATATTTCTGATAAGCTTTCGGCGTACCTCCGCTCCTAAGCGATAAGCTTCCTCAATTGGCAATTTCAACTGCTCATAATAGAATTTTTTACCCAATGCGATGACTGCATGACTTTTGGCCTTAATAGCTGACGTGATTTCACACATTTCTTTCTTCAAATTATCCTCAGAAACTACGCGCGTAACAAGACCTAAAGAAAAATAAAAAAAAATTAGTTGACTCTCGCAATATAACTTTAAACATAAAAGCAACAGACCAGCTTGATATGCTTGCTGGGCATCAATAGGTAAACCCGTCATTAACATATAAGCAGCTTTAGATCGTGACATTACTCTAGAAACGGCTATACCGGGCGTTGAACAGAATATACCAAAATTAGCTCTAAAATTTTTAAAATTTAATGAAAGTAAGCAAATGCAAGATCGGATTTACCCCGGCGTCATGAAACTACTTTTATCGGTTGCTATTACAAAATCGCAAGAAGCGACCAATTGACAGCCAGCTGCTGCCGCTAAACCGTTAACTTCGGCTATAACTGGAACAGGAGCTTCATATATACTTAAGATAATCTTGGTAAGTTTTTCAAAGATTTCAGTTTGTTTCTTTGAAGGCTTACATGGGCCTAGTTCCCGTAAGTTATGACCTGCTGACCATACATTACCATGGGCATTTAAAATAATGCATCTTAACTCTTTATTAGACCAATCCAGGCAAACTGCCTCTAATATGGCATCCATCATGGCCATAGATAGTGAGTTGCGCGTTTTTGGATCGTTAAATGTAATTTCGCGGACTCCATTGATTTCCGCAACTTCAACGAACTTTTGCAAAGCCGGGCCAGCGGCAGTGTGTGTAAGACGTACAAGGCAACTAGCGTAATATTTGGGTAGAAATGTCTGCAAATAATACACATCCACAAAAAAGTGATGTTAACATTTACGGCACAAAAACTTTAGCTTACTTTCAATGTTTTGATTGTTCTAAACATTACTTATTGAAATTCACAATTTGTGGGAGAGATTGGAAAAACAAGACGCACAAACAACTATTTAATAAAACAAAAGAGAAACAGGTGTTTATAAATAAATTACATAAACATATTAATAATGCTTTACAACACTACTATAGCAATATATAAAGAATCGTTGTGGAGAAGAGTGCACGACACACATTCATTGGGTGGAAATGAGGGCTCAATAGACGAACTAAGCTTTTTAACATCCCATGCCCTATTTCTTCCATAATTACACTCATCACCGAAGGACACTCAGAAGGAAGCTTCAGAGACCCCGCAAAATATATATATATTTTCTCAAATCACCAAATTGTGAAACGATTTAAGCATGTCCGTCTGTCGGTCTGGCTGTCTGTCCGTGTATTATAAACATTTTCCGTGGCGCAAAATTAATGCGACCGACTTAAAATTTGGCAAAAACCATTGAATGTTTTTGCACGCAGATTAATATTGAAAATGGGCCAAATCAGTCGAAGAGTACGTCTACCGTACCACGCCAACTGAGAACACCTCTGTTCTTCAAAAATGGCTTTTGCACATTACTCATAAACAGCAAGGAATAAATCTACACTAATTTAAACGTACATTCTGAGGGCGACGCTGTAGTACCTGTATAATAATGTTAAAAATTGACCACGCCTACCCAATATTATAGTGTATCAAACTTTAATTTTTTTTTTTCAATATCTTTACAAAGCGCAGCAACCCTATAAAGTGTAAAAATTCTTGGCCAGTTTGAAATTCAGCAAGTCCCTCTGTTCATCTGCCCTTCTGTCCGCCTACGCAACTGCGTAATATCAGTGGGAAGCATACTTGCCTACAAACTTGCAAAAGAATTTGAAAATACCCCAAACTTTTCAAATACCACGCCTACAACGCCACACGCTTATAGAATAAAAACAGTGAACACTTTTGCTTTTTCTCTCTCTCCTCTCTTCCCCGCTGCTCAAAACCTACAACAGATACAGGACATAAGTTTTCAATAAACTATCTTATGTAAGCAGAACAACGTTAATGGTGTAAGAAATTCGTTACAATCGAATATAATTTTCTCACTTGTCAAATAGTAGCTGTATTCACTTGATTCATTTTTTGCAAACTTGACTTCCTCTTTATATTTTTCTGATAGAGTTTATGAGAGAGTCTATCCCTATGACCTTGTCTAGCTTATTGATAACATGCAAATCTGATTTTTCTCATTTTGTACTGCACCATTTATCTTATCTACTAGAAATTTTAGCAAACAAACTTTTTTGCAATGAAAACAACAGCAATAAATAAATTTTGTGTTAAGAAAACGAAAACACATTTTATTGCTAGTGTTATTTACGCGTTCTTAACTCGCAAATGAGTCCTTTACGTTCTTTTAATCTGTTGGCGTTGATTTTCAAGAGAATAGAAGTAAGCAAAATTATTGTCCGGCTTATTATTTAATTACAAAGTTTATTAGATGAAAATTTTGTTACACAATAAAATATAAATTCCAACCATTTTAAAACCAAGATAAACATAATAAAAAAAAAAAGTACTTCCTTCAACCATAAAAATATAACAATAAATTGAGATTATTTTTTTCCAGTAAATCTTTAGTTTCAGTCTACATATGCGACCAATTAGGTTTACGTTTCTCCATAAAACTGCGTATCCCCTCGTCCGAGTCGGTTAAATTTAAGTTTTCAATCATTTTCTGTCAAATGAGTGGAATGTTTGAATTTAAAAGAATATACATAGAGTTAAAAGAATATATATATAAATATATGTTATTAACCTTAATTGCCTGCCGATTCGCTTGCTCCAGTGGTAATTCTAATTGTTTGTAAAAGAATTCTTTGCCCAGAGCTAAAACAGCGCGACTTTTACTATTTATTGATGCAATAATTTTCTCCATCTCCTTATCAAGATTAGCTTCAGGAACGACACGGCTAACTAGACCTTGTATGGAATATATAATATAATTATGTTGTATATTATTTTAATTTACGTTCTCTATATACATGCCATATTTTAGAGCGTCTTGTGCAGTTATAGGATGGCCAGTGAGTAACATATCCAAGCATTTGTTATGGGGCATTAAACGAGACATTATAACAGCTGGCGTTGATGCGAAAACTCCAATATTTGCACTAAAAAATTATTTCTTTAGTTTCTGCTTTTAAAAGTCGAGACATTTGGTGTTTCAACCAATCAATGAAAGTCCTACATACTCTTTTCCTGCTATGTACGTAACTTCAGTTTGTTTATTTGAACGTTAGATCTTGTCCTACTGATTACCATAGCAAGATCGCGAAAACTTACATATATATATATATATAATCAGAGTTTATTTTAGAACAAACTCTTCGCTTCGTAGATAATGAGTTTTAACCTAAATCTTGGCATATATCTAGCTTTAAAGAGCTCTTGCTGAAGGCCAACAAATTTTACATATGAACGGGTAATGCTATACCAACCTGGGGGTTATAAAATGACTTTTCTCCGTACATACCACCATGTCACACGAAGCCACCAACTGAACACCTCCAGCTGCAACAATTCCGTTAACTTTTGCTATAACTGGCACTGGAGCCTTACGTATATTCTCAATGAGTTTCGCAAGTTTTTCAAAAACTAATGTTTGCTGCTCAGCGCCACATTCGGGCGAAATTTCCTTTAAATCATGACCAGCCGACCATACAGGGCCAGTGGATGAAATTATAATACAGCGAAGATTTTTATTATGCCATTCGGCGCACAAATGCTGCATTATCTCCTCCATCATGCTTAAAGAAAGAGGATTGCGCTTCTTTGGCTCTCTTAGATTTATCTCGCGTACACCATCACATTCAAAGAGTTTCGTATACTGTTCATACTGTTCAGATTTCGTAAATTGATTAGATGCTAAATGGAATGCGGCACGAGACATCTGTCTAAAGCTAAGCTAAAATATGAAAATGTATTTATTTTTTAAAATAAAATTTAAACATTAACTGCGTACTTACTTTATGCTGCAGTAGATTTTTAAAGTGACATAGCATTTTAGTTGCGTACCTTGAGCCACAGGTGTTTTGATTATTCTCTTTGACATTTGATTATTTACTATTGTTGACGAAAAACAGAGCTGCCAATTTAACGTTAAATCTCAAATAACGGGCACTAATCTAAGAATATGGGGAATAAAAGAAATATTTTATTACCTTCAATAACATTGAAATGCATCATTAGAAGAAAAAAGAAACAAACAAAATTAAATCCTAAGAAAAATTTCATGTTATAAAATTTAGTGTTAGTCCATCCCCACTTAACAATCCAAAAAAAGAAAAATAAAACTCAGTGAACGATCGTGAATTTAATGAAATAGTTTGCAATTGTTGTTGTTTGTAGTGATGACTCTCGCATTTAAGAGGTTAAAGTTGATAAACAGCTGTAAATATTGTTTTTGTTCATACAAGTTTTTACATTCATAAAATTGTGTTTTGCTTTGCTCACATATATACAGCACATTTACTCCATTTAAACTCCCTATCTCAGGAAAATAAAAAAAAAGTCAGTCAAATCAAAATGAGGATTCAATTGTAAAACATAATCAGAAGTTCATACAATAATCGTCAGCATGGAATGCTAATTTTAATATAATGTTCTGCACACGTATATATTATCGGTTTGCTTGCAAAGTTTCGTCTTATCTTGTCATTGGATTTAACCATTTTTATTACCATTAAAAGATTAGCATTGTAGGTAATCGTAAATGTGCGTTAAAACTTTTCGTGTTGCATTATTATTTTCAGAATAAGTCCAAAGTATGAGAACACCTGTTGTCGCTCAAAATTTAGGTATTTTTATTACCGGCAATATTAATCGCTTATTTGTCAATCGGGAACCATGGCAAGTGGCCACCGTAACAGCCACTGTAGTTTTAAGTGTTGCTTGGCTCTGGAATTTCGCCAATCAGGAAGAAAGTAATTTATTAATTGTAACGTAACGTGTCTTATTCTATATGCTAATTTATGTGCTTTTTGCAGGCATTTGGTTACGAAGCAAAAAGAAATTTTTCCACTATGTAAAAAAACTTCCTTCTGTACGTCATAAAATCGATGAGGAATTGTCGAAAACAAATCAAAATTTTGAAAATGAAATTTCAAAAAGTTGTGCAAAACTTTATTACAATCTTGAATTACCAGAAAATGGCTTAAGTAGTGAAAAAATACTGAAATTGATAGATCAACACTTGCGTATAGGTATTCATACAATTCTATTATTATTGTTAGTATTATTTCTTAAAAAAAAACTATTTCAAATATATATTTCGTTTTCTTCAGGCAATTACGATTGGCGCGATGGTAGGGTGTCAGGTGCTGTCTACGGTTTTGATGAAGAGCTTATCGATTTGGTGACTAAAGCTTATGGTAAAGCCTCGTATACAAATCCTTTGCACCCAGACATATTTCCGGGTGTTTGTAAAATGGAAGCAGAGGTTATAAGCATGGCCTGCAAATTGTTTCAGGGCGGCCCCAACACCTGCGGGACGGTTAGTTTGAAAGAGAGTAGCGGTAAAAAACTATTCATAACCGTTTTTTTTTTTTTTTTTTTTAGATGACAAGTGGTGGTACTGAATCTATTGTATTAGCCTGCAAAGCTTATCGCGACTATGCTCGTGAGCAAAAAGGCATAACTAAACCAAATATGGTTGTACCAAGAACAGCGCATGCTGCTTTTGATAAGGCTGCACAATATTTTAATATACATGCCCGTTATGTCGATGTAGACTCGGAATCGTATGAAGTGAATCTAAAGGCTTTTAAAAAGGCCATAAATGGTAATACAATTCTGGTAAGTAAGCAAGTTTGGGTAAGATTATAAAGTTATGGTAACAAAGGAATAAACACCTGCATAAGATTTTTAATTTATTCACAAACAACTTATTAAAAGAAAAAAAATTTGCCTATCAACATCACATAAGCGATGGGATTGATCATATGTCTAAGAGTTGAAAAAAAAGTTATACTTCCCTCTTAAGCATTAGTGAATAAGAATGAATAAAGAATTCTAAATTCGATGCTCTTAAATCATCAAAGTCTTATGTCTATAAAATCTTATACTTTACTACACTTAACTGCATCGTTGACTTTCCTATTAAATTCCCAGTAAAACTTGCTACCTTTCATAATTTTAATTTTGTTCACGTTGAACGGAAATGTAAAGCAGTTTTTCTATTTTAAGTTGGTAGGGTCTGCACCAAATTTTCCCTACGGAACTCTCGATGATATAGAAGCAATTGCCGCTTTGGGTTTAAAATATGACATACCAGTGCACGTGGACGCGTGCCTAGGTAGCTTCGTAATAGTATTCGCTCGAGAAGCAGGTTACAAATTGAGGCGTTTTGATTTTTCAATTCCTGGAGTAACTAGTATATCGGCAGATACACATAAAGTAAGAAATTCTGTAATTCTACAATTTAATTGTAAAGTTTTATAAAGTTCCAATGCTTTTAGTATGGTTTCGCCCCTAAGGGATCTTCAGTTATATTGTATTCAGATAAAAAGTTTCGTAATTATCAATTTACCGTTACTACTGATTGGCCGGGTGGTGTTTACGGTTCCCCAACCGTAAATGGTTCGAGAGCCGGAGGTATTATAGCGGCGTGCTGGGCCACCATGATGAGTTATGGTCACAACGGGTATTTGGAGGCTACAAAGCGTATACTAGACACAGCGCGCTATATAGAACGAGGGTAGGTAACATAAAAAAACTTTGTTGCTTTTTGTTAAACAAAAATATTTTCCAACATTTTCAGATTGCGTAAAATTGACGGAATTTTTGTATTTGGTCAACCGGCTACCTCAGTGATCGCAATTGGATCTCATGTATTTGACGTGTTGCGTTTATCAGATGCCTTATGTAAACTAGGTTGGAATTTGAATGCTTTACAATTTCCATCCGGGTGAGTAACGCAACTTTACATTTTTTCGCCTCTATTTACTAATGTTTTGTATTTCTTCGCTTAAAGTATACATATATGTGTCACCGATATGCATACTGCGTCAGGAATTGCAGATAAATTTCTAGTCGATGTACGAGCATCTGTAGCTGAGCTTATGAAAGATCCTCAACAGCCGGTGACTGGTAAAATGGCTATATACGGGATGGCTCAGGCTATATCCGATCGATCAGTGGTAGGTGAAGTAACGCGTTGTTATTTGAATAGTATGTATTACACGCCACCGCTTGACGAACATTAAAACTGGATAATGCATAATATAATAATAATATGCTCGCTCGTTGTCGTACAACATCTCATTTTTACGCATTGGTTTGTATGCATGACAAAATTTTTATGAAAGAGTCCACCTCTTTTTAGTGATATATGAAAACCTGTTTACAACTAACTTTACCAAACTAAGCCGCACATATGTTTATTCTCTATTTGTCTTTGTTATGAAATTTTGTTTCTTTTTTTCTTTTTGTGGAGTAAATGCATTTTCTTAAATAAAAATTTAAAACATGAATGAATTTGATGGTGTGCACATTTTTATTTCTTGCTTCATTTCCAACTCCTACATGACTTCATGATTTGTCTACTTCTTGTATGAGTTTTTATGTTTTCATTTAACATATGCATCTTGCTAGACTTGTTAACGCCACACGTTTTCATGACTTTACACATCATTGGCTAAAGTGAATGCAATCTAAAAACTGTTTTGTCGTCTAAACAGACGAGATCGTGGATCGCTCTTGATCACGCTTTAACTATATATACACTGTAATGAATTGTGAAATTATGTTAATTAATCCAACCCAATGGTTATCACTTCTTGTTTATGTCTATAAACGTTACTGTATTCCTCTTATAGGAACTTCATTCGAATTTAGCGTAAAGCATTTATAGGCTGCATAGAGTACAGTTCTACGCTCTACGAGAATTTATAAAACCGGCGCCGAATGATGTTAATTTTGCCAAGCCGTTCGCAAACGTTTAGGAGGTTGCTTCAGAGACTATATAAGGTAAACACATATTCTTGATCCATAAGGAATTCTCGGCCGAATTAGGTATGTCCTCTTAATGGTAATATATAAGATATCGCCTTCAAATTGGGCAAAAACATTCAATTTCTTGCGCGCAGGTCGATATTGAAAATGGGTCGAATTGATCAAAGAACATCTCTACCGAACAATGTAAACTGGGAACATCTCTTTTTTCCTAAAGCAGAAAAAACTGATTTCTTGCTTATTACTCAACAATTACAACAATAAAAAATTGTGCATTTTATGGCAAACAATGAACCACGCCCACCCCATATTATTAAGTATCGAAACTTCATTTTATTCGAATTGTTTTTAAGATGTAAAGAAGACGCGGTCGCAGTTGAGTATACTTTTCTTACTTCTTTTTTATTATATAAAGCACTCGAGATATGAAAACAAATGAATCTTTGATTTATTAGCCACGGATTTCGGTTGTAGTAATTGCAAAGTCAAATTTCATTGGCAGAGAAGAAACCTATATGGAAACTGCTCTTTTTTTCTAAGACATGAACGTAGGGCTGGAATTAAACTTGAGTACTTTTCCTTGCAATTTAAATTTTAGAGACGTTTTCTGTTTGAAGTATGATTTTTTTACTACTTTCGTAGGGCATTCAAAATTCACGAAGGAAAGCCACCGCCTTTGCCCAAAGCAATGCCGGACCATGACTCGCCAAAAATTGAAAAACTTTTTCCACCTTCTGCCTCTTACCTCGTCTCAATTCAATCGCAATTTGTCTCGTTCTCTGTATAACTCACTTACCAGTATAAAAAGTTGCCTTTAAATATCACTTGAAATTGCAGGAAAATGGCAAAAGATTGGTTTGTCAAAATGTGCATACTTCGCTCTTGTACAGTATAAAAATAAAACCGAAATTTTTACGAATTTTACTTAAAAATCCCTTTTCTTAATAACACTTTCCTTTTATCCTGTGTTTTCGAAATTGTTTTAGCTTTGGAATTTTTGATAAATTTCTTTCAATGTATTTGAATTTAATTTCCATATTTAAAAAAAGTATTCCAGTCTTATTGCGTATGGGGGTGAAGAGCTTTTATGTGTTGTTGGAATACAAGTTTTTCCCAAATAGTATTTTTTACCTACAATCGAAGGGATCTTATGAAAACGTTTGCAAAACCCAACAGTAAGCTTCAGAGATCTAACAAAGCATATATATATTCTGAATTTGTTCAAGCAAGTCTGCCTGTCTGTTGTAAACATTCTCGTAGCCGCGAAGATGAATTCATTAGCTTCAAATTTGGCGGAAATATTGGAAGCTCTTGGCCGTAAGTATTGAAAGTCGTAAGCTGAAAACACATTTGTTTTCTGCTTGTTTTCCTCATTACACAAAAATTGCAATAAAGCCCACGCCCATCTAGTGTCATAGAGTATGGAAACTTTTCCCCTTTTTTTCGATAAACCAAATTTCGTAATAAGAAATGGATCAAGTGGAAGTACCCGCAATGAGGTTTTCAAAGATTTATATAAACTCGTACTTTGTTCGCTTAAATTGACAAAACATTTACAAAAAAAAAGAAAAAAAAAAAAAAGGTAACAAAAAAATTATTGTTAAAGTTTAATAGCGAGAGCTTTTACTCTCCGCTTTGTTTTGAAATTACATTGAAATTGTTTTGTAAAGTAGGGGTTTTGCTTAAGGAAATTTTAACCTTAGCACTTAAAAAATACACGCCAACAACCAATTACATATATACGCCGTATACACGACAAATACAGTGAAACCTTGTCCTATGAATGAATTGGTGTATGATACAACAATAAATAGACTGAACGAATAATCTCCCCTTCCATACAAAATAGACGAAAGTTCTGCGGGAGGGATACATGGGACAGAAAGATATCCGAAGTTTATCAAAAAAATTTTTAAAAATTTACGAAAATCCAGATTTCCTTGGAAAACGTTACCGCAGCAAAGATATATTAAATAAAGCAGTGAAGCTTTTCAAGGATAAAGTGTTGCTTAATTTTCTGGCACTTACTCAATAAAGAAAGGCATCGATGTTTTTCGATAGTTAGAAATGATGAAAGATACTCGCAGAGCCTAAAAAGTTGTCAAAAGTTATTACGCAAAAGATTTACTTTCTGTAACTCTTCTCTTTGGTACTTTTCTGGACCAATAATTACTATAGGCAACTTTATTGCTTTTGTGTGAAGTGCATCAAGTATGTCCTCAAAATAGCTTAATTTGCATAAATATATTATATGCGCGATATGAAACATTTCGCGACGCCTCGAGGCTTCAGTGCATATTTTATTATGAAATTCTATTGGGAAGAAAAAGAATTGTTTGTTTTATTGTTGTAATATTTTTCTTTTAATTTGGCTTTAATGGGCAACAATTTTTCTACATAGCAGACATTTTATTACGGACGACTTAGTAGAAAAGATTAGACTATAAATATATATTAGAAAAGGTATTTAAAAAGAAAGGAAATGTAGTGAGAAAAATCGCGGATTACTTTTTAAGTCCATAATATTTTCAAGCTAATCGTAATCTTATTCCATCAATGTATCTAATCAAGGTCGAGAAAATGAAGATCAAAGAACACACATCTTCGCCCCATTATTTTATCTAAACTGTGGATCTTTAACAAGTCTATCTATCTAGTCTGAAAATGTGGACAAAATCTTCCAAATTAACAATACACTCTGTTAATACTAAAATTTTACAAAAAATATGTATTCGGATCGTCCAACATTGTGGATGTCTTGAGGGTACATGTGGAACATATTAGGTGTTTGCAAAAATTATGATCACCGATTTTTACAGTTAAATATGTTAAAGAAGTGGGAAATACCAGAATACATAAGGATTGATGGTTTTGACTTTCGTCGACATAAAATAATAGTCTTTGGTTTAATATTATTGATTTATAGAGCGTACGCCGACGCTAGGTTAGGAGTGGGCAAAATTCTTCTTTTTCCAAATTTCTTGCATTTGTTGTTTATTTGAAGAAATCTGCTGTCGAAGCCCACCAAACTCGTTCAGAGGCTTTTTTTGTGATGCGGCTCCATCATATCTCAATTGTCGGTTTTGGGTTCAACGGTGCCTCGCGTTGACTGAAAATGCCCTTTTTTGGTCACTCGTTGCAAGAGTTGTCCAGGATACACTGTTGCAGCTCGAATGGGAAGTTCTGCCACACCCATCTTACTCACCAGACATGGCCGCGCCTGATTATCACTTTTTCAGATCGGGGCAGAATGGTTTCGCTGGCGCGCGGGTCCTCATAGTTCAAGAATTGCGAAAATGAGTCGGTATGTGGATCACTGCCAAATCAATATAACCTACTTTGACATGATAAAACGTTGTAGGAAATTGTAGAAAATATTCTGATTAATATATATTGTGCAAACTTCGTTGCGAAGAAACTCGCGTGTCTCAATTGAGCAAGTGATCTTGATTTAGGCAAACACCTAATATGATCATCTAGTTTAACTTTTTCAAGAAATCGGGCCGATGGTCTTAGTTGCTAGCACTTGTGTTGCTTTAGTTTTAAAATTTATTTCTTTTCCTTTTTCTTATGCGTATAATAATGCGTCGTGAACGGAGCAAAAGAACGAATTGGGTTTGTATACTCGGTTTTCACTGTATTCGTAACAATTGTTAATATGTACTAACTTAGTTCAGTAAGTTTTGGTTGAAAAAGTTATTATTAGTAGCGGTTTTCATTTCGTTGTGTTGATATGGCGTAAACACGCATATTGTTATTGTTAAAGTTATATGTTTGGGGTCGAAATGATATCAGAATCTAACAATAATGATAAATGACAAATACAACAACAAAATATTTTGTGAAATAGAAAAAGATGAATTAAATAAATAATTATTAAATCTAATATATATGTAAAAAAAAGAAAAAAAAAAAAAATACAAAGGTGAATAAATAGATAAAGATATATATATATAAATAATAAAAATAAATTAAATATTTAGTAAGAAGCAAAATGAATAAATAAACGAATTAATTAAGATTTTAAAGAGAAAGGTCTTACAAAACCCACTACTATTGCTAATTAAAATTACTAAAATTATTTATGTGAGTAAAAAACTCCCTCAGTGCTACAGTAGTTTACGTTCAATTGCAATAATGAATATTTCAAGCGTTTTGAATCAAATTATTAAATACATCGAATTCCAGTTAAATGAATCACGGCTTGCATAAAACAAAAGTAAAAAAAAAAAGAGAGCTTGAAACAATTAAACCCACAGATATTAAGTGCTGCCGCATTAATGAAATGCTATGTGCTTTTTGTAAGACCAAGTTTCCGCGTTCCTTGCTCTCGCGAGATATTTACTTAATACAAAGTATCTTTATTTGTTGAAGCGATTTCATAACCGATCGAAAGTTAAAAGCAGGAAAGCTAGATGTGTTTTTTTTTTTTTTTCTTAAGGGGCAATTGTACCATTTTCACTTTTGTTGATTCATTCGTTTTTCAAACTTACAGTTGGAGAGACTATCGTAAAGCTTTGAAGATTACTTATCATAACTACAATCCACATTAGCTAGTTTTATTCATATCCATCCTATCAGGCAACAGGATCAGAAATCCCTTACATTTGCATATTTATGGTTAGCTGAGAAATTCCGAGAATTATATGAAAAAAAAAAATTATAAATTTAAACTTGTTGCCTTGCGTTGATAAAGCGCATTTCAGCTTACAACTTGAAATGTCCAATATAAATAAAAGGGGGTTTGAAACTGAAGAAGCAAAAAGAAAAAAAAAAAAAAAAAGGGGGGGAAGAAGAAGAACAGACGAATAATTACTTAGCAGGCATGCGCTTTTTATCGAGTGGTTTCTATATGCACAACTCATGCTATGGCTTCTAATGTTTGTCAAATAAGTATCATATCGCATACTTCAGTTGTTTCATTACGACTTATAGAATTATTATTACTTACGCTATACATACGTATACACTTGTACACGTATGTATGTATATACATTAGTGTGTTTATGGTGATTTTCCGTAACCCATTGCAATATTAACTGAGCCGTTATTCAATATATAACTGTTGAATTTTACGCCATGACAACATGCCACCCTACGGCTTTTCAATTGAAATTTTTGCGATATGACAATTGAGAAGAAAAACTCTCTTAAGGGCACAGAAAGAACATTTCCTTATAAAAATACACGCGACCCTCATTTTACAGGTTTCTTTCGCCGGTTGTTTTTTTTTTTTTTTTTCATCAATTTACTGATAATCGCTTCGAATTCGCTTGAAAAGAATAAACTTTTATTATAACAAAAACTTCATAAACTTCTTCGGGCGAAACGATACGAAACAGGCAAAAACATGTCTAGACAGAGTGCGCTGGTCACGCTTCATACACGTTGATTCTGCGGGGTCTCCGACATATATTCGGAAAATCCAATATACTCGTTGGTCGTGGTGAGTTTAAAGCATAAAAAAGATTTTTTTTTTTCTTTTTTTTGACATCCAGTGAACACTTAAGTATTGAAAAGTATTTTAGCATTTATATACCACGCACACACACAATTGCCCTATTGCTTAACGAAAATTTGTGCATGTTATTCACGTAAGCTATTTTAATAAAATTCAAATTGTGTCAAAAATTATCGCCAATTGCCGTCACAGAAACCTACGGTATCAAAATTGTATGTTTTGTCCACTATCGAAGGAAGGACTTGTATTAATTTTAATCGTTTACTTGAAAAACCTATTCAAATATATATATATACCTGACCTAAGTGAGACTTTTTCTCCATTAGTGCGCTTTTGGGAACGAGAAAATCGTAAAGATTAAGGCAGAAAGCTGAAGCAGTCCACTCTGCCAAAGAGAAACGTCCTTAACTAAAGATTAATAAAGGGGAGGGAGGGGGGGGGGGGGGGGGTTTACTCATTTCAGCATAATGCTTGCAATATTCAGGAAACCCCATAAGGTACCTGCATCCTTGATCAGTGTGAAATTCTGGCTTAAATTTTTCTTAACAATACCCTATAGTGAGCTAAACGGTGGAAAGCAAATTTTATCTCACTCGCATTTTTGTAACGTTAAGGAAAAGCATGGATCGTTCTAGACTTTAATGGCATCGGGTAAGCAATAGCTTTCTTGCTTGTTTAACTTGCGATGTAAAAGTAGTTTTTAGATGGGGGGAGAAGGGGGCGGGGGGATTTTGCTCATTTTATCATAATGCTTGCAATATTCAGGAAACCCCATAAGGTACCTACATCCTTGATCAGTGTGAAATTCTGGCTCAAATTTTTCTTAACAATACCCTATAGTGAGCCAAAAGGTGGAAAGTAAATTTTATCTCACTCGCTTTTTTGTAACATTAAGGAAAAGCATGGATCGTTCTAGACTTTAATGGCGTCGGGTAAGCAATAGCTTTCTTGCTTGTTTAACTTGCGATGTAAAAGTAGTTTTAAAAAGTAAGACAGCTGTGCTGATAAACAACATCAAAGCAATCGATGTCAGTTTACTGACACGCCTACATGAAAATAGTATGCCCACCAGGAGCAAAGATTGCAAATATTCCTGCGATTGTGTTATAAAGTTTCTTTGCGTGTTCAAGGAATAAGTGGTGATTTAAGGTTTCACGATGAAAGGGCGACGACGAATGAACGAAATAACGAACGAATAAACATTAAAGTTTTCATGTTTAATCGATAGAGTTGTTAACATTTTATTTAAAATGGGGAAGAAAGCCATAGCTAAAAGCTCTTTGCTCTGTGTTTCGTACGTAATTACATTATATATGCAATTATTTTTTATATAAAATTATATCACTGTTGCACTATCGTTTAACTATTTTACTCTATTTATTATATTATTATGTTTTCGTCAATAGAACAGAAGAAAGTTTAAACTACCTCTAGGGTCTTGAACCAATTTCGGTCAACCAAGTTGATTGTTGATGCTGCCAAAGCACTTACTAGTCTTCACTTATTTTTATTATAACATAACGAAAAGTACTATTTGTTGCCATGTAAAGGTCGAATTTCCATGAGTGAGGTTTTCAAGGAAAAGATTGCGAAAAAATAGATCTATTAAAGTGCCTTCGGGCTCATTTTTTATAAGAATATTTTTATGGAATAAATGATTTAATCGCGAACTACTATCTCTTAACAACTTTTGCCGAGAATTATCACTTTTTTAAATGACCCGTTACATGGTTGCACAAAGGATCCAAATTGATCCATTTTCAATAGCGTTCACAATTTACGAGACGATTCTAAATCCAACGGTCTAATAAATTGTTGCGTCTATATCAAGTTTGCCATGGTATTGCATACAGCCGCACAAACTTGATATGTTCTAGTCACGAGGGCTATAGGGTAAAAAAAGTGTCAAAACTAAATCATAAAGAAGGATATGCCGAAAATTTGAACATATTTCTAATAATAATTAGATTAGAAATCGGAGGCAAATATTTAACAGGTTCTTGAGAAGACATACCTTATATCTATTTGTCATCTGATGAGGAAACTGGATCTGTCCACCAAAACGATAAAACGCCCAGAGGACCATGACATGGTAGTCCTAACGACAATAGGTAAAAACATATATCAACCCAACTACGTTCGTTAAGCGATCGTTTCATTCCCCACTCGGTCGAAACATTCTTATGCTCTAAAAAAGGATCTTATTACAAGGAGCTGGGCGTGGCAGTAGAGAGCTCCTTTTGAGACGGTGGCTACTCCAACATCCCAATCCAAGCTTGCTTGTTATAATTGCTTCTTTTTTTTTTTTCTTAGATCGCAAATCACGCAGCCTTTGTTAGTCAATAGTCTGTTAAGATAATTATTAAAATTAGTGTATAAAAATTTTGTGCATATTTGACTGCACAATTGTATGTAATACCAAGTAGACCTTTAATTATTTACATTAGTGATTAATAATTCAGAAAACTGGCTTGCAAAGGGTAAACAAAATACAAAAATAAGTCAAGTATCACGTACATTAATGGGGTTTAGGAGTTATGTGCATTAAATAGAGAGAACACTTATTTAACAATAACACTTTGAATATAATAAATATTTATTTTTAGTTCTAAAAAAGCGTTGCATTTATTATCACGAATAGTGTACATAAACAGTTTTATTTATTTCTATATACTTTAGGATGTAAAGACTACGTTAGTTTAGTTTTGATCGATATATAGTAAACACATGGCACGTTAGTTAAGCATCAGTAATATATTGCCTTCTCACTCCAAGGTTTCTCCAAAAAGAAAGGATATAAAGTCGACTAAAATTGACAACTCGACTAGCCCTTCGTTTTCAGAGTCGAACTCGACGTGTAGGAGTAATCGTTGCTTACAACAAGTTCCTTATACACGTATGTAGGCAAAGGCAATGTCAACAGGGTTGTATTCGTCTAGGCGAACAAGCCGTGCGGCTAGTTCCTCTCTTGACCTTATTAGGCATCTACTTTGCAGAAAACCTCTGCTGTAGAGAACATATCAGCTATCTTGCTGCCGAACATCAATAATTTGCTACGATTTATATGTTCAAAGAAGAAGAGTTCCCATATTAACACAGTCATCAACGTCTGGAAATCTTTTGTGATCGGGAAGCTGTCGCACGGTATTACAATTTATAGGTACTCATGCAAGACGAACATTGCAAAGATTGGCATAGGAACCCACAAAAGCTTTAGAACTGCAATTGGCTTCTTGAGGGCGGCTCGCATCTCGCAGCTTTAATCCTCTGTAAACTTGGCTTGCAAAGCTTTAACCTTGTCTTGTCCTGTTGGCCTCCGCAATGTGTGTTGGTATTAGTTTTCAGATTTCACATAGTTACCCCTGTAAGGCCTATTGAATGTACAACAATATCCATTGACACAAATACTTTGATGGGCGACAGCCTGAGCACCCTGTACAAGGACATCACTAACCCTGTTGTCTGTAAGGCTCTCTTAGCTGATAAGATTGACACAAATACTTTGATTGGCGACAGCCTGAGCACCCTGTACAAGGACATCACTAGCCCTGTTGTCTGTAAGGCTCTCTTAGCTGATAAGATTTCTTCTTACCATCCACAGACGATCTTGTTCACCTGATTGTTCTTTTAATGGTAATAACACTTCTTTTTTCGCCGTGCAAAATCCCTTAGCCTCACTTTATAAAGCTACTAGCGAAGGGACAGAATTAACATTTTCCACGCACAACTGGTTGTCGTCATAGCAGCTACAACACATGCCTCAGATCTGCCACGAAGAACGCTAATCGGTTTGGAAAAGCGTACCGTCATCAGAGCAATACGATTCGATTGCAAGGGTATTTTTTATTTCGTATTATCCCTAGCATGCCTTTCGATTCCCTCCCATAATGAGATTGACGGCAATGAGCTGGCAGATTAGATGACCAGGCGTGGCCTCTATCAGTCTCCTAAATCTAATCCACCCTGTCTTCCTCAAGCGATCGTCTCATCTCGCAGGAGATGAAGGAGGCAAAGATATTTCTGCCATCAACTAACCCTTTTATTATTAGGCCAAACTACAATAATTTTTCTACGCGAGCTGAATGTATTTCCCTAGTCCGCCTTAAAGTAAATAAAGCTTTATTCAATAATACTAAATATAGTTATGATTGAACTCAACCTTCCAAATGTGTTTCTCCTTCTGTCAGCCATATTTTTTCCGAACGTCGTTTATCAAAAACTAACGAACCTCTTGAGAAAGTTGCTGACTGTTCGAGAACAGACATGATTCCCAGAATTTGTCTTTCTCTCCGAACACATGACACATGATATCTAGATTAGAGTTTATTTAGACTTATCTCTGTTCTCTGTTTCTCTAGTTACACTAGTTTACTCTATACTCCCGTAATTGTTTGTTTATGATTTTAACTTCACACCATGTTTGTTATCTAACACCTACAGACGTATATGATCTAGTTAAACAATCGGCGCCTTTTCAACCATATTTTGTAAATTTATTTATAAAATGTAAGAATAAACTCGATTCTATTATTCTAAACACGTAAGACGGCATTCATAGTTAAATCGCTTCGTGTTTTCGTTTTGTAGTTTTTATAGGTTTCCTCACTCGAAAAGTTCGCCCGAAATACCAATCTCAAGTGATAAAGCGACTGATCGATCAGGTTGAAGGACGCCTTGGAAATCAATAACTCCGCACGCAGTTTCGTGACCTTTAGGTGATCCGAGGCGATTCTTAATTTTTCATAGAAACAAGGCGAACTTAGTAGCATGTTCTGTTGTGAGCTTCTAAGAATTGTAATCCTTTAAAAGTCCTCCTGTTTTCTTTGAGGATCTGCGTATATTCCGGCAGCCAAGCCGCCTTGCAGTTCCTAAGCATGATAACAAGCACTGAATGAGATAGGCAGGCACAATGATGTGCACCTAATACGAATGTCTGTCTGGCCATTGGGGTGCAGAGGGCAATCAAGGGGCCGACTGTCTAGCCA